ACGGTTTTACAAATGAACATGTACCGGTACGCATTTAAAATGTGCAAGTTGTGATGATATATCGCTTCTGTCTTTATTCATAAATGAGGGATACTAATTGAAAGTATCCCTTCTTAATTTTTTCACCTTTTTTTTTTTGACCTCCCAAAAAGGGGGGGGGGCGCGGCCCCCCTCCCCTAAACCCGCCCCCCTAAATCCGCCCCTGGGTTCCTCGGTCTGTGAAAGTCCCTCCCTGGTTCACCTCTCTTTCGAAATCCTGGATCTGCCACTGTTGATTTATTATATAATTATTTTTGCGCTTATTTATAATGCGTCTACTGCAATTTTCACTTTATCCTCTCAAACAGTCCTAAGAACGTTCAGAGTGTGCTACTTCACAGGGGCTTCGCCCGCCCCCTTGACCCCGCCGGGGTCATACGTAATTCGCATAACGGCTTCCCCCTTTCAAAATCCTGGCTACGTCCCTTGGCCTGTTTGAATTAATGGTTTCTGACACCCTTTCTAGACCCTATTTTTATTTTTGTTGAACCATGGAGGTATCATACTATAATACATCCATGGTTGAACGGATTCAATAGGCCTACTGTATCTATTTCAATGACCTAGTCTTATGACACAGTACTTCCTAAACATCAGGAAGTGTGACAAATTATATCTCTATCAAAGATACTAGAAATACAAGATAGAGTTCTCCACACAAAAAAAGTGTTCCACCGTGTTCCACCGAAATGCATGGTGGGAATTCGGAAAATGGGACGCCCCCTACAGCTGGATCTAAAAAAACTTGTGCCAAACTTTCGTTACAAGTCGTCGCGTATTTTATTATCAATTCTCAACAAAGATACTAGATATAAAAACAAACTGGAATAGACACCCAGACAGTGACATCGGTGAATACATAACCTCCTTGGTGGCGGTAGAAATCGTTGCTATTATCCAAATAATACACAAAACAATTAAAGCACAATCATGAATCAGTAAAGTAAAAAACAACAATACAGCGCAGAATCGCATGGCCGGACGCACTCTAAGTGAAAAAGTTTTCCTCCATTAGTGGAAAAGGAAGGGCGCCTTTTGCGTCTGGATATACTTAGTAACAGAAGGGCGCCCTGTACGTTGGGCACGAAGTATAGGAAACATGCCTGGTTAAAAAGAAGGGCGCCGCCTACGTTGGGCACGACTTCCGCCTCATTTTTTACAATGCGAGAACTCTATCTTGTATTTCTAGTATCTTTGTCTCAGCTCTATGGACAAATCTTACTATATTGTCGTCACATGACAGTGTGAGTGAGTGAATGATAGGTTGGGGAAGGTCGAGCGAAGAAATCGGAGAAGGCTACTACACAAAGTGATTTTTTTTCCGCATTATTATTAATCAATATGGAATGGGATCTTCTGCAAGGAACGTCTACACATTTGAAGTTTAACACTTTTTACCTTTACCAGTATTATGAATACAACGGAAATATATGTTGAAGACAGGGAAATGGAAGGGATACATAAGCCAGGCCCCTGCGATAATTCCGAAATCAGGTCGTCAGGCTCAATCATGAACGGTGGGCCTGCTGGACTGCAGTCACATTACACTGATGGGCTAGGCCTAGGCCTAGATGATGTTAGGGTGAGAGGGCGAAATACTTCTCCACCAGATCTATCACATACAGAGGAGTATTATAGTCGATCTAGCTTCCAGGCCGGAACATACACTCGATTGAACGATTCGAATAGAGACTTCTTTATCGAAGACGATGATGAACCGTTGTTAAATTTGGCTGAAGTGGAGGACAACAACCATTGTCATTCAGCTCAAGAGGAATATTCCAATCGGGGTGCAAGGAATCAACTAATTGTGGCCAGCGTTATTTGCCTTGTTTTTATGATTGGGGAATTTGTTGGTAAGTTAGGTTAATGCCCATTTGTAGACAGACACCTGGGGCAGATGCAGGATTAGGTGGTAGGGTGTACGTGTGTGGCTTCACACCACCTTACTTAGCCCCACCGTCCTACTGTATGGTTGGGCGGGGTGGGGGGGGGTGGTAAATTCGAAAAGTTTTAAGAATAAGGACCTCTCTAGTCTAGGTGTCCAGAAATTGCACTCTCATACCTTAAAAATTAAAATCTTACCAGTAATTTATATCTACAATACAATACATTACAACAGTTATTTTTCTTAAAATACAATTTTAGGGGGCCAGGGTGTGATTGCACCCCCAGGACACAGGTTTAGGCCTACTCATGAATCACATATATATTTAGATAATTTAAAAAAAAAAATAAAATAAACTATAGTTTCCACAATCAAACCTAGGCATAGCCTCAAGAGCTTACTTAACCAGCAAACCGTCTAGCCGTCTTTTGGACGGCCAACAATTATTTAGGACGGCCACTTTTACTGTGACAGCTTACTACTCAGCTCGGCTGACGGCCTATTTGTCTAGCTAAACCCTGCCTAGCCTATACCTTGCCACACAACTTTGTGAAGTCTGGAACTGCATACAGTATGAGATGACGTCATTTGTAATCGTATTCTACCTTTGCTATACCGTAAAGTTTTTTTAATTGCGCAGATGATTACCTCAAAAGCCAGCTCAAATTTGTTTGGAAAATCGCTTACCACATTGTTTATGTAATAATAGGTCAAAGCAAAATTTGACTGATTTATTTACCAAATTTTTGAGCGGAGGATATATTCCAGTCGCAGGCCTTACAGTAGTAGTATCATGCAGTCTGGTATCTTTGTTGTTTTGTTTTTTAAATAATGTACCTTGGTAATTTTTAGCGGTAGATTTAGGATTTAAGATTGGGAGTGGCTAAAGGTTGTTTACAGTGTGGGGGAGGGACTTGTTTCTTAGAGGCCCGGAATACACTTTCCTGGATTCTTAAGAAGTCTATAAAATGACAATAATTTCTTAAAATTCAGGGATTTTTTTCTGTGTTAATATAGTATATGATGATACGATGATGATTACATTGGCAGTGGCTCTGATTAAGTAATGGGGCCTACAGTAAATGTGAGAGAAGTATAATCATCGCCACCATACTGTAACATATTTCCTTGTGGCTTTAACTTTTTTTTTTAAGTTTTCGTAGTTGTTTTGTATTGATTTAATCAGGTATTTTCATGAAGTAAAAAAATTGGTTTTTTTTAATGATGATGATATGGAAGTGTAATTGATTCATTTTTACCCTGCAAAACCTTTTAATTCATACTGCAAAAGATTTTCAGTTTGCATCAAGACACCATAATTAGGGGCTCTCTCCCATACTGCACACATGCAAACTTTCATTAAAGAGTGATTACATGTGGTTTTATTTCTCCAATTAGGTGGTTACTTAGCTAACAGTTTGGCTATCATGACAGATGCTGGTCATTTGTTGAGTGATTTTGCAAGCTTTATGATCAGTTTGTTTGCATTGTGGCTAGCAAACTTGAAGCCAACCACTAAGATGTCATTTGGTTTCTATCGAGCAGGTAATACACTAACTTATGATATGAATTTGATCAATCTTTTTTACGTTACAGTTTAGATAGCTGAAATAAAATAGTAATAATATGCAGAAACATTGACCCCAATTACATTCTACAATTTACATGCAGCGATTCTAATGTACTGTACTGTAATACTGTACACCACTACCATTACAAGACTACAAACAGGAAAATTTAATAATTTACATTAGCAAGTTATTTTGAATATTTATTTATTGGCTTATTCATTTTTCCAAAAACACCCTTTTCTCAATACTACAAATAGTAATCAGGGATTTCATTAAGGTTTCGAGTAGGAGGACAATGAGCAAGAGTTACAGGAGACTGTCCCCCAGTCTGGTATAAAACTAGCCGGCAAAAAAGCTGTAGTAACCAGTCGAAGTTGCTGGCTGACTGCTACAGTACTAATGAAACCCTGGTAATCATAAGAAATATACGAAGAATAAATTTTAAATGTATATTTTAAAATTAATAAAATACTTAAAATAAAATACTATTTAATGAAATGAAACTTCAGTATATTTAAATTACACTCTCTAGTTTTGGTTTCATTAATAATTATAACCACAACCATTACCAGAGGACACATCTTTTAAACATTACATGACTACTTAAGAGAATATTTTTTAAAGTATCTAGAACACATTAAATGTTGTAATCATCGAATTCACTGTACATCATTACATTATTAAAGTCATGCACAGTCCTTAGGACCGAAGCTTAGTCCACACTGTCAGGTTTTATGTGTCAATTATTCTGTAATTTGCCCTTAACTACCGGTATGTAGGTGTGATATGACATCTTGCCCATACCTGTAAATGGGTACTACAATTCACATAATTTTACCCATTAAACTTAATGGCGTGTTCTGAGATAACTGTAATGAAAAAAGTGAAATTCTAGATAAATTTGTTCAAAGTTCACTTGTTTGTTTTTTGTTTTTATTGGTTTCACCACACACAACATAAATAGTACAATGTATTCAAACTTAACTAACATTACAAAAGTAGATAAGAAAAAAAATATATACATATATATATATATATATACATATATATGCATATACATATGCATAACTGTACAGTATAATATACACTCACATCACGAACTAACACAATCAAAGTAGATTGTGTTAGTTCGTGAAATCACAGTAGCGCGTCAAAACGAGCGCGTATTGGTTGTCAAGCAATTTTGTATTCTTTTCCACACAAAAAGTCCTTAACAACAACAGCGCGTATTTTGACACGCTTTCTTAATTTCACGGACTAACACAACCTACTTTGATTGTGTTAGTTCGTGATGTGAGCGACGATATATACTGTAAATTAGATATTAAATAAAGTTCACCACTCCTTCATTACCACCAAAGAGAAAGTGAAATATTCAGATATATATTTATCTATGAACGTACTGTAGAATCTAACAGAAGTCGCTGAGTAACCTTACAAATGAAAAATTTATGAATGTAAAAGCAGGAAGCAATACTGCCCCACTATGACAAAAGGATGGTTGCATGTACACAAAAGACCTAATCGGATTAACAGTGATAAGAGAATAGGAGCTGGCTAATACAAATGTGTGTTTCTTAGTTATTCAAACCAATGCAAATGTCATGGTGGGGCAGAATACTTGTTACAATTTAGTCTTAAATAGAATCTTTGAGGGGTGGATCCAGAATTGCTGTCCCAGGGTGTCACGAAATATCAAACACCAAAGTGGGATGACTTAGTGGGATGTCCCGTTGGAAATGCTATGCGAAGTTCTGCCCCATGGAAGCTGTGGTGTTTGAAACATTGCTCAAATTAAGAGTCTGTTGTAAATTCTAATTCTGATTCATTTGTTTGTGCTTCTGCAGCTGGCATATTGAATCTGTTCCTATCGCATTTGGATTTTATTTTTCAAACAAACTACCTGGAGAAATCAAGAATTTTTAACTCAAGAAAATGCTGTGGTTTTGTTTCTGTATATTTTTTTTATATGTTTCAAAATAAACTGTTACTCTGGTATTTTTCGGTCAAGAGTAGTCCCACTTGGACTTTCAACCTGCTTGAAGAATGTTAATGACTCCAGCATATTAGCCTGGTTCACGGTCAAGTGTAGTCCACCTTGGACTTTCAACCTGCTTGAAGAATGTTAATGACTCCAGCATATTAGCCTGGTTCATGACAAACTTTCATCTAGATATAGATCCACTTTAACTACAACAATCTAAAAACTGCAAAAAAAACATGACAGAAAGGTCCATAAAGTATGTACAGACGTTTTAATGAGAAATAAAACAATATTTTGTTAAATGGGAGAATGCTAGCGATTAAAATATTTTGGTTTTTATGGAAGGTAAATTTAGCTAGGGCCTAGACGTCTACTACTATTGCGGTAGACCACGCTGCTGCTCTGTCGGATGGTTCGTACTACCTTGTCGCCTATATTAATGGCAAAGGATAGCTAGGCTAGGTAGTGGAAACTGACACCTGATCTACAGTAGTTTACGAATTTGTCAATATTTTTTACGAATACCCCTTGGTACTAGAGGTTTGTAAAATACAGTAGACGTTTATTAAACAAGCCTTTCCACCGTGTGACGTCAGGCGGCCTCCAAGCTGGTTGGCTGTTTATCTGGCTCTAACTTGGCATCAAACGGAACTAGGGAAAATCGTATCATATTTCTAGATTTAGATATTAAGTTGCTTAACTTCCTGAACCAGGCTATCATTTGTTTGGATAGTATTAAATATTTATTTTAGATATAATACCTGCTAATATTAGAAGGCTTAGAATATTGATAAGGACATCGCTATCAGAAGCAATAGTGTTTAATTTGAAGCTACATTATCATTGATAACAGTGTAATACGTAGTTTGATTGTCTAATCAACAACATATTGCAATTCTCTTTCTATTGGCCCAATAATTATCACCATTCAGGCCATTTGTAGTACTGAGTAAAAAAAATATTTTTAAACTAATTGTACTGTATATTTGGTAGATAATTGTTTGTATTATCTCAGTAATGTTTTACTTTGAATATCAGTGTACCAGCAAACAACCAGAGGGCGATATTTGGCTTTTATAGCAAAATAAAAAATTTGAAAAAAAGCCCCCCTCCCTCCCTCATCACTTTTCCAGCCTAGATGGGGTGATAAATCAATAATATTTTTTATAGGGCCTAAAGCCTCAACAATACAACATATAAATTACCGCTTGTTTTTTTGACATTCAAGAATCTATCTAGTATTTCCGATATAAAAAAAATTTGATAATTGATAATTGAGTAACTGTACTGATAAATGCTTTTGTTCATTCTGAGAATTCTAAGCAAAATCTGTAAGTTTACAGAATGGAGACTGAAATTTCTTAACAGAGGCTAGCAGAACTTAAATAAAGAAAAAATTATATATTTTTTCTTTTCTTAATGTTTCCAATTTTTTCAAAGAAACATGTGCTCTAAGTTTGATCATGGAGGTTTATACCGCCATGGTTTGACTAATACAGGTATGGAAAGATTTTTTTTTTTCCTATGTGCTTTGCTTTTTGTGTCTACAGACTGCCCCCTCGGGGGAAAAGAAACTATGTTATGATCTGGCAGTTAAAGATAAAGGGTAAATCCGGTGGAGTTGCATGATGGGTCATGTGTCATCTTAAGTACCTTAATTACTGTACAAAAGTCATAAATAAAAATACAACACCACACATTTCCCGATAGACTTGCCACAAGTCCCCTATTATTTTTCTTTTCTCATTCTGGACAGCACCACCAACGAGCAAGTAAATTTTGAGACAGAATTATCTGAAAAAACATAAATCGAGTATGGGACGCCTAATACATTAGGTATGGTGCGTAATAAGTGCAATAAAAAGTGAGTAACCCAAAATTAGGGCCTGGAACCCAGGCTAATTTTCTAATAACAGAAGCCCATGTGGATTCATGATACAGTAAGGCAATATAGGGCGTAGGCACACGCTCCCGCTGGGAGCCTATGTTTTTTTTTTATATCCCGGAGAACATTTTTTTCATTTTGTAGGACTTAGCAACAATATTCTAGAGGTAGCCTATTGTTGTTGTATATCAATATTTTGCAGCCTGGTATCCCAGGAATGTACAACAGGTGTGTGCTTTCTTCATTAAAGTTCGCATTTGCTATTCCAAATGTTATTTGTACGCTATAGCCCAACAGCTTATTTTTTTTTTTAAATTGTTTTTTCCCCAAAATGCCTCTGGGACATACATGTTGTCTCCGACCGCTGGTCACGTGCACTTTTTTTTGGTTCTCCCACCCTTCCTGGTGCCTCTATACTTCCCAAGGACACAAGGAAAAATCGGCACTTGCAGTGCATGCACACCAAAGCTTTATCCTTCATTGCTTCCGTGACAATATGTTCTCCATTTTTTCTTAGAATTATAAATTTCATGGCCTTATGCATATGCTGTAGGTGAAGTAAAAAGTACTGTAAATCCGTTTTGTACAAAGAGATTAAAATAAGTATTACATACTGCATTGTTATGGTGTTATTGTCACTTGATGCAGGACAAATAAAAGCATCTATGACCCTCAAAATTTCCCCTCAAATACAAAATTACAATTGAAATCCTACACCTTTTTTGTGATTGCATTTGTTTGTTTGGCAGACTGCTTTATGCTATAATTGATAGGAAAATAGTCCTTAGTACAAATACTGTTTAAGCCTTGTGTACAGAAAGATGTTTGCTAGCTTCAGGGCTTATGGGGCTTGTTGGATTGACCCTATGCTACTCTACATCATCTGTGTTAGTCTTTTTTAGTATTTGGCTAGCATCCAGGTAGATTTCTCCGGTACCAAATATTTCTTACCCTATCCACAATGATTTATTAAAAATATTTCATGTTCAAATTCTGATTAATGTAATTAGCTACTTCCTAGAGGTGAAATAACTTTACAAGAACATAAACTTACCATGGTCTGGTACAGTCATGCACTTACAGTAATTGGCAGCATTAAACAAATATGATTTTATAAAAAAATATATATATTGAATGATTCTTAAAAATTAGCCAAATTTGACGTTATTGTATAACATTCTAACTCTACTGTACCTCAGTACAACATATTTTTTTTAATGAAGTCAAATAAAAATCCTACATAATACTGTATTGATGTGGAAGCAGTGGGGGGTGGCAGAGTTTACCCTTTTAAATAGAGTAGTCATTATTCAGTTGGGGTGTATATCTGCTGATTTTATCCAGGGGTGAATCAAGGGTTAAAGGAGAAAGGGCCCCCCTAAAAAAAGTATAAAAAGGGAGGGAAAAAAGGAAAATGAAGCAGAAAGAGGGTCCCACAGTACTCTAAAACAAGCTAATAATATTTTATTTAAATCCCATGTACCGTACCAGTGTCGAGGGTCATGCTTTCTAAACAAAAGTCTCAAACACAATTCATCTGTTAAGCAGTTTTGTACTGGGGAACATGCACACCAAAGCTTTATCCTTCATTGCTTCTGTGACAATATGTTCTCCATTTTTTCTTAGAATTATAAATGTCATGGCCTTATGCATATGCTGTAGGTGAAGTAAAAAGTACTGTAAATCCGTTTTGTACAAAGAGATTAAAATAAGTATTACATACTGCATTGTTATGGTGTTATTATTTATCACTTGATGCAGGACAAATAAAAGCATCTATGATCCTCAAAATTTCCCCTCAAATACAAAATTACAATTGAAATCCTACACCTTTTTTGTGATTGCATTTGTTTGTTTGGCAGACTGCTTTATGCTATAATTGATAGGAAAATAGTCCTTAGTACAAATAATAAACCTTGTGTACAGAAAGATGCTTTCTAAACAAAAGTCTCAAACACAATTCATCAGTGAAGGCAAGACTTTTTTATACCTAGCTGCCTGCCATAAATGATATAAAAATAACATTTTATTTTTGGCTAATTAGTGCACCCGTCGCTACGAAAAACTGGAAATTTCAGAAAAAAATAAAAGTTTGTATTTATTTTTATTACACCCGCTGCTGCCTTGAAATCTCCAAAAATAAGATATGCATATTTCTTTCTAATTATGTAAATTTAAAGCATTTAACCACCCCAATACAGTGCTACACTATTTACATTCACAATTAAAATGTTATTTTTATTTTCTCCTCTTTCTGGAGGTTTTTGGCAAAACACTTTGCTAAATAAGAAAAACAATTTTTTTTCCTGTCCTCTGACAATCTTTAAAAAATCTAGTTAGTGAAATAATGTATAAAAAAGTCTTGCCTAATCATAGGTGAAAAGAAAGTTTGTCTTTTAATTTTCAAGTGAAATGTATTACAGTAAACCAAGTCATTGATTAAAATACAGTACTGATTGTTGTTATTTAGGTTTAATAACTTAGCACTGTGTTAAATTATTTTATTCCTTCTGTTTCAGAGGTGCTGGGAGCAGTGCTCAGTATCCTTATTATCTGGGTTCTCACTGGTATACTTGTGTACTTAGCTGTCCTGCGGTTTATACATAAAAACTTTGAAATTAATGCAGACATCATGTTGATCACTGCAGGCTGCGGAGTCTTCCTCAATATAGTGTAAGAATAACTATTAATTTATTAATATGGATGATGGATGGATTTATTTGGTGGAAACACCATGAGTAACCCACGAATGTCTGAAGAAGACTTATTTCTAGTGGGGTCCTGCTGGTGGTGATATTTGGCAGTACAACAGGAGACAATCCCCAACTATTTTCCGAAGTGTGTACTGCATTCTTTAACGTGCACATGGGCTATTTTGCACATGGGGGCCAATGGATTAAACGTCTCATCTAAAGACAATGCACTTTTGAAACTTGCATTTCAGCCCACCAGCTGAGATACAAGGAGAGCAGCGATGGGAATTGAACTTGAGATCTAGAGATCTCAACTGTTCAGCACGCACACACACAGTGGCTACCACCAGATTAGCCAGCTGAGCCAGCTGCTTTCAATATAAATTTAATAGTAGATCTTGTTATCTTCCTTGTCTTTGTATTTTATGCGTTTTATCAACGAAATAAATTATATATGATTTTCATGTTTACTATAGCAAGTTTATGAATGCTAAGATATAAGATAAATTAAATATAAAGTCTATTATAAATATAATGTCTAACTACTGTAAGTAATAATATTCTTAGATACTATCAGGAAATATTTGAAATGAAGTACAAATTGCTGACAACAATCATATTGTTAGTATAAACTTTAAATACGAGAAAAATGGATAACTAGAGTTTATTTGAATACAGGGTATCTACAGTATATGCATCATGAATTCGTTTGCATATTTTACAGCTGTTTAAATTCCAATAACAATATTTGTGCAAGTATATATAACACTGTTTTATTACGATGAATTGGTTTGTGATCGTGCTTTTCAATATCTTTAAAGTGATCTGGCAAGCTCTGTAGCTTGACAAATTTGAGAACTATGAACTTGTTTTTCATTCATAATACCAATGCCCTTTATGATACTATATATTGTGGCTGTTTCATTGTGATGAAAATGTTTTCCAGGTATGATCCGTGGGCGATCAACAGATGGTTTTAAATATTTACTAGTTGAACTTAAATAATGTACAGTATGACTACATTTATTATTAATTACTCTGGAACAATCACTATTGAAAGAAAGGGCCTCAAGTTGATTTTTTTTTTCTTTTTAACACAGTAATATTACGAACATTCCATCTTTTTTTTTTTTTGGTAACTTTTGTTACTTTCAGTAGAGTAACTGGGAGGCTTTAGTGTATTTGGGCAATAATAATAGATAAGAATTGTACATACTGTAAATTAAGCCATGGACTTGACCTGTATCTTGGCAGTTAAGATGATTGCTTTTCCCGTCCTACCCTTCTAAGTTCTAACGCTTCAATAAACTTTTTTTTCTCACAATAAAAACAGCTCCACTCCCTAACAGTGGTGGCACCAGCGGGGGTAACCCCCCCCTTCCCCGGCCAGAGCTGGTTGGGCAGTCTGACCAAAAGGAAAAAAAATGGGCCTACACAAAGCCAACACATATCTGTCACAGTCTGAGAGTGCCATTTCCGGCCATCCAGAGGTCCCCTCCCAAACCCTCCCCT